TGCCATCCAAGGAAAGATGGAAAGCTACAACCTACTGTAGAAGAGGTATGGGAATAGGCTTCTATACTTAAGCTGGACACTGTTCCAAGGTACTGGTAGTCATGTTGGTATGCCAGCCCCATCCAGGCTTAACTGCTGGCTTAGGAGAGGCCACAAAGACTTGCAGGCTTTGTGATCTTACATGGAGAGTTGTTTGTATATCTTCCTAGAAGAAGGCAGAGTTCTGACCAGATCCTTGGAATCAGTCATATATAGTGCTCTACATGCGCCTCCAATCTTCAGGATATTAAACTTTAACTCTCCTAGTTAAGTTACCTTTTAAATCAGAAATGAGTACTTATAACTTTCAGTTTTTAAGCATTAGAACTTTTGGTTCCAAATTAAAGAGTAAATATGCGTATTGTTTGTCTTGTTAGGTAGTATACAAAAATATGAACCAAAGTCATAAAATAGCTTTCTGTGACTGTATTTGAACCATTACCCAGGGAGTGATCTTAAAATATCAAGCTGGTTTCCAATATTTATGTACTTCAAACTTGGAGGCACATAAGCAGTGATGGGTAGCTAAAACATTTTCCTGTAGCATCAGTATTTAAAATGTTAAGGGAAAGAAGCGTTCTTTCTTTTTGCACTCATAAGATTTTGGTCATATTATATGCAAGCAAAATCAGAAAACATTCTCTTTTTCTGTGAATTTTGAAAGCTGAGAAATAGTAACAGTTTATAATGAAAAATATTGCTACTTTTTTATTGTTGAGAACCAGTGACGTTTATCATGTTCCTACTGTGAGAACAGTTTGTCTACATCATGCTGGCCAAAACCTACTAGACTGCCAAATTGGAGCAGGTGGAATGTATGATTTCTGGGCAAGTCCAAGGAGGCCTGCCATGGTTGATTGGTCATTCTCTAATCTGTTGTTTTTGGCTTTGGTTGATTGGGTTTTCCCCCTACTTTTAATTATGAATAAAAAAATTGACTCCCACAAATAAACAAACTTTTTATTTAATTGCACTTGAGGTGTTGTTTATGACTATGCAAATGAGTAGTTCTGCTTCCAGATATGATCAGTTCTCCATTAATGCAAATAATTTTTCTTAGTTTTTCTTGTCATTCTTTATTTTCTGTTGATAAATTTTTATGTTTTCAACTGGGGAAAAAAAGATCAGTAGTTCAATAAAACATGGAGTTCAAAGCATATGTTTGAAACCAGGAAAAGTATGTTAATATGAGAGTAGTACAGACTGATGTTTAATTATCAGCAGTTGTGGGCGTCCCTAGGCATGCTAAGGTGCCTCTGAGAGCAGAGTGGAGTGATAGCCCTACCCAAACAAAACCCTGTGTCTTGAGAAGTATGTGTGTGTGTATGTGTATTTGATAGTTGTTATTGTTGATACTGTGAAAATGCAAATGAGAATATGAAGATTCGAAAAAGCCCAGAACTATAACTGCCTGCAGTTGAAGCATCATTTTGAAACCAGCCATACACATTTTGAAAGGAAATTTCCAGAATGTTTTGTGATTACATAAGGAAGTAGCACATGTAGTAAAAAACACAATGAAGTGAGCAAGATTAAGTGATCAATTTATAAAACTACTCAGAAAAATAAAATGCACATGCTGGGATAGTCATTAGATCACTGTATATTAGAGAGTCAGCTAAATTTGGTTAAGGTCAAAACAAAGGAGTCAGGCTGAAAAATACCCTTAGCAAATTACACATTTAAAAATTCCCCAAGGACATATATGAACAACCACCTATAAGATGGTGTTGATATAATTTTTTACCTTATAGTTGGTTCTAAAATATGAATGTAAATTATTTGACTACACTATTAGTCTTTAAACTTATGTTTGTGAAGACATTAATTTGCAAACTCCTTGATGGTTTAAAAGTAGAGGAATTTTTTAACAATATGTTTCTGTCAGTATGGTATTGATTGTGGGGAATTGGGAGTGGGATTAGGTGCAGTCAGATAAGCTAGCTTTTAGAAACAGACCTGATGGACAGCTTCAGTGCAACTTCAGCCACGATACTCACTAGAATTCCTTATTTGAAAGAATGTGTCTCTAGATTCTCACCATGTGAGTGGGAAAAGTGGAAACATTCTGAGAGAATATATATAAAATTGAACCAAAAATTTTGAAAAAGGCATCTTTTAAACAAATATATCAACGTATCGGACATGACTTTGCTCTGTGATCCAAATTGGGTCGTTTATCCAGAGGATGTGATAGAGATTTCAAAATCAGTTGATTATTTTTTTTTTGTCTTCATGGAACTATAAAAGTACATTCTATACCTCCACTCCCACCGTGATAACTTGTTTGCAGTTTCCAGCATAAATCAATGAGGTTCCCCTCATTGATTCATCCTCAGAAGCAGAGGCAACCTGCCAGATCATTGGATGTTTAGGAGCAGTTACAAATAGGAATAAGCAAGGAAGGAGTGGAGGGAGACTGCAGTTGCTTATCTCCTCTTCTTCCCATGTCTTTTCCCAGCTACATAAGTGTTTCTCAGACATACCACTTGATCCTTCATATAGCAACAAAGGAGAAGCCTCCAATTAATAATTAACAGATATTTTTCTTAGGATGAACAATCAAGCTAAACCCTATATGTTTTTGTTGCAAATGATAAATTTGCTACAGAGGAAATGAAGCTTGAGAGATGAATGGGGAGATGTGGGTAGTAATTTATTTACAGGGAGTTAAAATAACACAATTATCAACGTCCTGTCAGATTATTCTCTGATTTTAGTGAAATTCTAATGAGTTAAATCAGACTGATTTTACCATAAGGCACAACATGACCTATCAACAAGAAGATATACATACTAAAATTTCTACCAACAGAACCCCAGAAACATTGCACAGGTCACCTCTTGGAAAGTCACCTAGGTCTCCCTTCTTAGAAATTACTGTAGCTAACAGAGCAATAAATTTTTTGCTTTTTTCATCTATATTTTGAGACTAGGCTCTCAAAATATGATCTAAAGGAGAGGGAAAATTGCTTAGAACACTGAATCTAACATATGACATTATAAAACTTAACCTAGTTTCTAGAAATGAATACTTATGATTAGTCTTACATATTAATGTCTTAGACAGAAAACTTTTTTTCTTCATGGCAAATTAATTTTAAAACATTGTTTTTATACTAAAACCAAAATATCTAGCATGGAGCAGCATGAAGAATCAGGATGAATTTTTAAGATCAATGTGAGATTTTACTGTTTACACTTGGAGAGTTTCAAGTTATTTGTTGTACTCTGCTGTAGAAGAATTTCGTGTGGGAAAGTTTTTTGAGAAGCGTAGTTTAATGTGAAATGTGAATAAGTTGATTTGACAATGACAGTACAAGAGGAATTAAAGAAATTAAAATGCATTCATTCTCCTTTAGATCACTGTTACCCTGCATATAAATCACTCTGTTCCTACCTCTTCCATAATGCTCTCAAGTTCACTTTCAGATCAGGCTGTGGCTTGTTCTGAATTGCTTCCATGCAGTGGATACCTAAAGGCATGTGTGGACCACAGATGACTCTTGTTGACCAAGGGTGAAGAGTCAATCATATCCATGGTATAGAGACTTTGACTGTAGTGTGGCAAAAGTTTCTTACTGCAAAACAATGACTTGGCTCCAAAAGGGATGCGGAGGCTGGTTTGTTTGTACTCTGGCACAGTTTACTAACATTATTCAATTGATTTCTCACCAGAAGCACAGGCAGTCTCTCCATCGTTTCACTGGGTGATAGAAATTGGTAATGGAGATTTGGGTGCTAATTGCCTAGCTAACAAAGCTCTCCCAACTGTGCTACTTTTACCAGCTAGGTATGTTACTTCATCTCCCGCCACTGTATTACGTTTGCCCAGTTGCCAGGCCCTTACAAACAGAGCTGTAGCTTCTCCACACTGAGTCCAGTAGGGTTCCAGCTATGTTAGCCCTGGTTTTGCAGACTGCCTGAAAGACACTGCTATAAAGAGTTGCCTCAGCTGAACATGTCCTTCCTTTCCCCCCACAGACATAACCAGTGCGGTGCAATCCAAGCGAAGAAAATCCAAGTAAACAAGCTGGACGGCGACTTGATACTTGTAAATGTGTGTGAATTTTACAAAAAGCATTTTTGAGCTGTGACTTTTTAAAATCCATTTCTGTACAGTTAGTCATTTTAATAATGTGGCCCTTTTCCTATTCCCTGCAAACTGTTTCGTAAAGTGCAATGGGAAAGCAGAGTTGTTGAACCTTTTTTGGTGTTGCAAGATGAAGTTCAAGTTTCTAAAATGTTGCCATGTATTGAGAGAAGCTAATACTATTATATTAGTTTTCACATTTCCTAAGCAGCCTAGAGTACAGGGTGAGCATCTTTAGATCTTCTAATGATGTATTGTGCTGTGGAAGTACTGTGTGTGAATAGCAGTAGTGTGGGCAAAAGGAATTTTCTCATTTGGAAATGTTGTAAATAATTTTATTATATAGTGTTTTGGATGTATTTGTTGTAGAAATGGACCAGTGAATAAAGAGAATCTAAGGGTTTCTACAATGTGAAATACTGAATGTGTTAAATAAATGTCATTGTTCTAGAACACAAATGATGTCATTGGTGACATTGGTAAGGGATTATGGGTGAACAAGCTCTTTATTTGGACCATAAATGAGTAGAACAACTTTCTTTGTAAATTAGAATCCCATCTTGTCCTCACACACCTGGGATACCTAGCTGGCAAATTGAGGAAAGAGCACATACTTATGCACTCAACTCATTCTTGGCTTTGATGAAGTTAGCCCTTTTCTAGCACTCTACTAGACACTTGGTCAATTTTCTTTTGCAAGATAACAGAAATAACCGAGCGTATCCAAGACCACCCCAGATTTTCTAGGTACAGGAGACCATCAGCAAACAGATAGCACTTTTCCTTCACCTCATACCTCTGCTTCTCCATGCATTTGATGAATTGCTCTAAAATAACTTTATTATATCTTTTCCATTCAAGAGATAAACCCAGACTGACCAGCAAGATTCTTTCTAACAGCATCAAGAATCTAGCCCAGTAAAGTCAGCTTTCCATTTTCAGTTTAGTTCTATGGTTAGGTGGGGAAGCTCCTAAATAAAAGCAGTCATTTTGTGTCACATAATTCAGAGATGTCCACTACATTCCATTTCTTGGCTGCCCTGTTTCTCATTTGCATCAGTCTTAGGGGTGACTTTCCATCAATATGCTCACATTTACCCCTTTCCTGTCTTCGCTCATCTTCAACTCTGAGGTCTCCAAACCAGCTGCTTTTGCAGCTCTTACCTTCAGGGAAATCCATTGCTTGGATCTCTGTCCTTGTCTCCATGTAGGCTTCAACTTTCTGCTGGCTCCTATAGCTAGACATATATTCCGTCCCTTCCCTGCTGTGTTTCTGTGCTTGTGCCAAACCAAGTGCCTGACACCAAAAGGATGAGTTGGTGATTCTCTGACATGCTCTTATTCTCATCTCTATTTCAAATGTCTTAATATATGTGTCTTATATTATAATGATCCTCCTAAAAGTAGTTATTTATGAGTCAGACTCCACATTGTCTGGCTCTGTTCCCAGCAGGCTTTTCTACCCTCTTCCTTCTCTATATGACACACATTACCAGAACCAAAGCCAACCATAGGGTATTACTGGCGTAATAATACCCTGTGCCACTACTGTGCTTGAGATTGCGAAGTGTTTCTCTCTTGCTTTAGCTCAATTCAGGCAGAAAGCATGTGCTTTAAATAGATTTTTATTTGTTTTTCTTTATATTAATTTTTTTCTCCCATAGAGGAATAACATTACAATCTAACAATCAGAATCCTGTTACACATGTACACAGGCATGCCACATGACCGGGTTGAGGTGGTTGTGTCCTTGAGTCTGTCAACATGTCACAACATGGTCAGAGTCTCCTCATTTCATCAATCTCAACACAAAACACCCAGAGGGATGCATTCAACTTGTTGGTTCCATTTGGAACTAGGTATCAGAGTAAGAGGGAAGATATAAGGGACTACGGTGTGTCTGCATTCAGTCCCCTCAGGTAAAGCCACATGGATCTGAGGAGGCATCCAAGAGCTCTGGTGGGGACCTTGTTGCACCTAAGATGTTATGGGTCAGAGCAAAGTGATCAGGGTTCAGACAGGGGGCTGGGGAGCAGTCAGACTCCAAAACAGCAGCAAACTGCACTCACACACACAAGGTACCCTGCTAGGGCCACACTGACAATGGCAGGGAAGTGACACCAGAGCACTCAGACAATGGGGAATAACTGGAAGTCACCCTTTGATGTAACTGGGACTCTAGAAACAGGGGACCCTATGACACACACAGTTTTGGCAAAGTGCTGGTAGTATTGACGTTAATACAACTGGAACTTCTCCAGGTTCTCTGAAAACATCAATCAAAACAGACTCTTTAACCCCCTCCTTTCTAGGGTTGCATAGGACTTTGTGAATTCTGGTTCCCTCGTGTATTCAAGTTCTGTGGTTTAAAAAAAAAAATCCTGAAGCATGCTCAAGGTGAAAGGCACATACACAGTCAATACAGTATGACGAGGTCTGATGCTTCAGGAGTCAGACTAGCAGGAGACTGAGTAGTGTTGGTTCTTAGAAATCTATACACAATTAAAAATATTGCCACACGCAAATGCTACAGAATCCATAGGAAAATACAAAAACATGAGCCTTGCAACCAGCCAGATGATAAGATTGGAGGGCTCTAGAACTATAGTAGCCTCCAGAAATATGGGAGGGTCCTTTTGAAATGTGAGCCAAATGCCCTATAACTCACTCTTCCTCCACCAGAAGGATCATGGGTACTCTCCAGGACTAAGCCTAGGTCCCAGCTGGCAGCACAGCAGTAGGCAGGAAGAGTTGGAGGGAGTTCCAGCTCTTAGAAATGCTGAAGACCCTAAGCTAGCTATGATGCGACCAAGGGGCAGATGGAAGAATAAAAGTGGCTAGGTTATACCTAAAGGAGAGCTTGGGGAGGATAACAAGGTTATCAACTACTGGGGCCCTAGTGGACTGGCATGGGGACTTTGATGATCTGCTTTTAGTATAAATTTGGCTTCCTCCTCAGGATAGGAGGCCCCAAGAGGGCTTCCTAGGTCTCCATCCCAGTATCCATGGAACTACCCCCTCCCTTCCCTACACGCCCACAATGAGGATGGGAGCGCTAAGGTCTGGGAAGGCAGCAGAGCAGCCTTTAACTGGCATAGGATTTCAGTTTTTTCCAAGCCTCAGCATGGCTCTGAGGCCTAGAAACCTGGAATTTGGGTAAAGGGAAGACCTATGTTAGTATGTAACAGGAAATCTTATAAGTTTCAAGGAAGAAAGAACACACACTAGAAAAGGATAGTTAGAAAGAGGAAAAGGGAAGCAACTTGGGGCATCCCCAAGAGGCTGTTGCTGGTGTCTGAGCCCAAAATTCAGTCCCACCACTAGAAGGAGAAAGCTGGCTGCCCCTGTCCTCCCAGTCTCACCCAGGGATTCAAGTTCCCTCCTCCAGGTGCTAACTGGAGGAGAAAGAAAGGGGAACCATAAGGACACCCATTTCTCCCCAATAGCTTAAAAAGGAAGAGAGAAAATGAGGAGAGGCCCCCGGAAGGCTATGAACCTGGATAGGAACTATCTGGGAATAGGGACACTGGGGCTCCTGGCCTCCTACCCAGGAGTGTTTATTAGCCATTCTGGGCAGAGTGTGAAATAAAAAATGCAAGATGAAGTCTGAACTGTCAATCTTAGGATGGCTTTACCCCACAGCTTGTCTTCCTGGCATCATCCTGTGTTCTTACTCCGGGATATGCCCTTTTGCTGACTAGAAGCCCTCTAGCCAGCATCTCTCCTAAGCCAGTTCTAGCACCTTGGGCATGTGAACAGATGGTCAGGATGGCAGGGCTTTACCCAGCCTCTATTCCTGGAGTAACATATTGTGAGTAGGGTGACAAGACTAAGCCCTTCAGACTCAGGGGCCTGCAGAGGGGTGGACTTCAGGAAGAGATTTGGGCAGTGGGATTATAAGAAAGGGAACTGGGGGCAGACTCCAGGCTCCAGCCTGAGAGCAGGGCTTGGCCTCTCTGAGCAAGCACGGTGCCAGCCCCCATGGTGCCCTGCTCCCATCAGCTTCTCAACCTGTCTGTGCTATCTACATCTTCAATAGGCTGCCTATTTAAACTAGATTCCCGCCATCATCCTCCAAATTCACATTTCACAATCCTCTTCCACATACTTTACCTTTCCAGGCCTAAGGAACTTCAAAGAGCCCAGCCCCCAGGGGGGGAGGGGGGTGGTGAGACTCCCCACAAGAGAGGGAAGGAGTCTCTCCCTCCTTCCCATCCATTTGGAGGGAGTAACTGGGAATGAATAATAAGGAGGCAGGAGTGAGTGTAGTGCCAACCATGCGCTAGAGAGGCTTGTTAGGTGGGAGTTAAAGGTGGGGCTTGAACCAGATCTGGGATAGGAAGGAGAGACGTCAGAAAGAGGAGTGACCAGAGGTAGAGGACTGGAGAGCAAAGATGAAGGGGAATGTTAGGGCAGAGGTTGGGATGGGGATGAGAGAAAGGAGTGTCAGGGGTTGGAGAGAGAGAGGATTAGATAGGGGGCATGGGGGCCAGGAGGAAAGGTGAAGGATGAGAGGGGATTCAGAGATGGATTAGAGGATCGAAGGTGGGAAAATCCAGGGGTTGTGAGAGGGGCTATCACCCCATCTCCTACGCTTGAAGGGAGGTTGTGTCCAGCCTGAGTCAGGCCTCGGGCACCCCTCGAGCAGCACTCTGGCTGCCATGAAGGGGCCCGATAGGGGTCGGGAGTCTAAGAGGGGTGTTACGTGGCCGGCAGACGCTCAGTAGTTGAACTGGCGTTGGCACGGCTGGTAGACGAAGCTGCCCTGGTGCTTGGGCCGGCGCGGACGGCTTTCGCGGGCGCGATTCTGCCGTTGCACCACTTTTGCGCTCAGCGCATGGCGCTCGGCCCGCTGCCTGGCTCGCTGCAGCCGCCGCGCCTGGCCGGCCTTCTCCAGCAGCGCAGCCCGCGCTGGCAGAGGGGCGGCAGCGTGGTGCAGGGCCCGGGTCTCGCGGCGGGCAGGCACCAACTCCCTGCAGGAACAGAACGAGGTTTGGTCAGGGCTGAACACTGCGGATGAAGGGAGCTGGAGGGCAGTGCTGACACCTGCCTCCCAGTCGCCCGCAGCCTCGCCCCGGTGCAGTGCTGTCTCTGCTCCTAGAGGGCGCCCAGTTCCTCCATCTCCTGGGTTATAGCCCCTACGGCAGGTAAACGGGGCGCGGGAAGGTTCCGACCTCCGTACAGCCTTCTACAAATTCTACCTCCGTGGAACCCTGGACTTGCTTCTCTGACCTCCAAACAGGTCCCTTCCCCAGGCCCCGCCCCAGTGGGAAGCCACGCCCCTCTCCTCTAAAAGCTCCGCCCCTTACTCAGACTCAATCTCTCCCTCCTCCGCCCTCCCATGGGCCACGCCCATTGCCTCGAAAACACGCCCCCAAAGGCTGCACCCCTTCAGTGCCGGGCGGGTTACCGGACTCTGCTCCCCAGGTCCAGTCGGGCCCCCGAGCCTCCAAGACAGCCGGTCTCGGCCTCCAGGCGCCGCCCCGCATCCACTCACCCATCGCTAAGCTCGCCGTCCGGCAGGGCAGCGTCCGGGTGCGGGGAAGGGGGCCCAGGCTCCAGCACGATGGTGCTGCCGGTGACGTAAACAGACATGCTGGGGTGCTCGATGAGGAGGTCCTCCAGGGGGTTGCTCTGGAGGCGGGCCGGCCCGAGTCCCGACCCCTCTGCAGTAAAACAGGCGGGAGGGGTAACAAACCAGCTCTCGTCCATCAAGGAGGGCGCGGGCGGAGGGCGGCCTGCAGGGACTGGGGCGGCCCCCGCGCTGGGTGGAACGGCGTAGCTGTCTACGGGGCGCGGAAGGGGGTGCCAGGCGAAGGGGGGGCGCGGCGGGGAGGGACACACACACACACCGGACACAGGGGGGCGGGGAGAGAGAGGGCATCGTTAGTCAGACCCGCAGCCCTGCCGGCTTCGCCCACGGGGTACCCACGGACCAGGTATTTCAACCTGTTGTTGCCCTAGGGCACTTGAGGTGTGGTACCCACACAGGGCCACCAAGAGACGGGGTTTGCTTAGGATGGAGCCCTGTTAACCCATCTCCACCGGCACTGCCTTAGTCCCAGTTCGCCCAGAAGGCTTGAGAGAACTTCCCAGCCCCAGCAACTCCCTTGCCCTCGGCTTGCTCAGCCACCTGCCCTTAGAGTGATTGCAAACACCCAGGAGTCGCAGTCCTGGCCCCCCAGTTAGCCTCACCCGGCAAGTCAATGATGAGCCAGCCATCCACTTCATCCTCCTCGGAGACGAAAGCTTGGGGGCAGTCCGGGTCCTCGGGAGGCGGTGGGGTGCTAAAGAAGAGACTGCTGAGGCGCTGGAACATGGCGGGAGAGTGAAGCGGCCTCAGGTGGCGCCCTATGGCAGTGCAGAAACCTGGAGGCGTACAGAGGCGTCTGAGTAGTCACTATGAAACCCGCTCCTGACTCCTGGCTGGCGCGCAGCCCTCAGAGAAGTAACAAGACTACAACAGGATGTGTGAAGAAACTTTGTGCTGTGTATGTTTTCTGGTAAGTCAGCCTACTTGCAAATTTCAGGCTTTTCTAGTTTGTGTGTGACCTTAGGAAGTTATTTAACTTATCTGTGCTTTAGCTTCCTCATTGGCCAATTGGCAATGATAATAGTACCCTCCTCTTCCAGGCCCTTATAAGAATGAAATGAGGGGCCTCCCTGGTGGTGCAGGGGTTCAGGCAGGCTATCAAGCTATCGACAGCCACCTGCCACTTGAGTTCAGGCCAGGGAGCAGCCCACAAGGCGCAGCAGACCTCTGCTGTCTCACCTGCTGCTCCCCTCAGCAGTGTATTTCAGTAGATCTGCCTGTTCTGCTCCCACTCTTTCTCTGGTGAATCCTCTTGCCCCCCACTCTTCTGGCTTACAGTTCTTTTATCCATAAATAAATAAACCTTTTAAAAAAGAATTAAATGAGCTAATCACTTTATAAAGTGCTCAAAACAGTACCTGAGCATAGAGTAGGCATTCAATAAACTAGTTATAATTAATAATACTGTGAGATACTCTAAGGACATGGAAGAAGTGATATATATGAGCAGACTCTGTCAGGGAAGGTCTCCAAAAGATTGGCCATCCTTCAGGCTGGATCTTAAAGCAAAATAGGTATTCTCCTAACAAGAAAGAAATTGCCCAGTATTGAGATTATTTGTTATCATCACTATAATATAGCATTTATGTGCCAGTTCAGTAAACACTACCTATATTACCTCATGTAAACTCACAACTGCTCTGGAAGTGGGTATAATTATTATTCATCTTTACAGGTGAAGAAACAAAGGCTTGGAGAGGTAAGGTAATTTAAGTCCCATATCCAGTAAGACACAGAGGTAGTATTTGAACCCATATAGTTAGATTTCAGAGGTTGCACCTCTAAGCACTATACTCGATTGCCTTTGCTGGGTATCATCATGGATTCAGCATTTTTTTATTTAGTGGCCATGGTCCACATGTATTTTTCTGGGAAGAAAAGCCTTGGTTTTCATTATGATTTCTTACACAGTAGTCCTTTACCTCAAAGATGAAGAACCAGGGGCCTCCCTGGTGGCACAAGGGGCCTAAGTCTCAGCACTATCAAGCTGTCTGTCGGCAGCCACTGCAATATGAGTTCAATCTCCAGTCAAGGAGCTGACCCACATGGTGCAGCAGACGTCTCCTGTCTTGCCCACTGCTCCCCTCAGCAGTGTATTTCAGTAGATGTGTCTGTTTTGCTCCCCCTCAGTTTTGCTACTGAGCCCCTTGTCACCTTCTCATGCCCCCACACACACACCTATGGCCTACATCCCAGCCCTTGTATGCATAAATGAGATAAATCTTTAATTTAAAAAAAGTGCTAGCTAGCAAATCCCACAGAATCACTACCATCTCATCATCTGTTTACATAGGCCTCAGTTATATCTGTCAGATGAAATGCAAAGATCCTATTGCCAAAAGCCCTCCCCGCCCCCATCTTAGCCCTTATGCCCAAGTTCCTGCTCAAGGACAATATCCCTGGCTAGGAGGAGGAAGATCAGATTGCCTGTCCTGGAGACAGCAGGTCATGGGAAGTGATGATGGAGGGAAGGAGTTATCAGACCTCAGAAGTCCTTAAGTATGAACACAGGGTTGGACCAGGAGGCTCAAAGCTCTCAATTAGTTTGTCCCTGGGTGAAGATGAGAAAGGAGAACCCCTGCTCCAGGAATGGAGACACCAAAGAGGTAACTGTGGATTTGCTCCTCTGCCTCCCAGTCTCCCTCAGGACTAGAACCTGCTAGGGATGTCTGGCCACTAAATCCTGACCCTCCACATCTACCTCTAAAGGTGGTCAACAGTTTTGCTACTGGGCCCCTTGTCACCTTCTTCTACAGATATTTCCATGTTTCTCATAGAACTCCTTGGGGGCATGTCCACATTACATTCCCTAGAGGCATTTTACTCTTACTGCTAACCCACTTGGGATATATCTGTGCTTGTCGCTACCTTTCCCATTCTCTGGGAATGTTTTTAAACTGCCACAGAATCATCTAGTCTCTATCCCCTGAGAGCATTTCCACATTTTACAGTCCCACAGTATGCTCCAAAAGGAAGTGCTCACTGGCTGCTGGTTCTACAGGGATTATGAAAAGTTAGACCACCCCAACTTGTGCCTGCCCAGCAAAAGTCACATATGCTAGTCCTTCTGTAGCCACAAAGAGCTAGTGACTCAGTTATCAAAAATCCAGAAAGTTTGGTCCCTCCTGGAGGAAGGGGAGATTGGGAGACACACCCTCTTTCTAAGAACCTACTACCTCCTTAAAGAAGATGAAAAGGAAGTTAAGAGTTACTTCAGGAACCATCATATTCACCCAGCCCATTTTACAATCTGAGAATAAGAGAACATAAGTCAAAAGCCTCCTTGGCTAGATGGTAGTAGGTCAGGCTAGGCCCAGGTCACTGAATATCAGTCCTGTGTGTACGGTCAGGAAAGCCTCAGCAAACAATCCCCAAGAATATGATACTGACGCAGGGAAGGTCAAGAGGTCATACAGAGTGCTTGATGGAGTTAATGTCCTTCTCAGAGGCCCTCTGCAAAGATATAAAAGGGTCTGGGATTCCTGGAACCAAGATTCATCATGCATTATCCAGGGCACCCACTGTGTACCAGAGCCTGCTCTGGCCCTCATCAAATTACAAACAGATTGAGGGAGGTTCAGGGGGGGTAAGCTCCCTGCCCAAAGTCACACAGTAAGTTAGTGACAGAGCCAGGAGTGACAACAGTACCAGCCAGCCAGTGCCCGCCCCCTCTCCTGACCACTGCGGGAGCCTCCCAGATTTTCTTTCCTGGCCCTGCCAGCTTCCTGGTTCTCACATTCCCAGCTCAGCTCTGGGGAGAACAATTCCCTTTAATAACGACAGCAGCTGTGCCCAGAATATTTTTATATTGCTTTCCAAGCCACCTGTATTCCAGTCTATCCTTGAGCAAAGAGCAGGCTGGGATGGCACTCCCACTTGGAAAGTCAGAAGTTCTCTTCCTACCCCTTCTCTTGCCCCTCTCTGTGAGCCCAGAGAAGGACAGCACAAGCCTTGTAATCATCAGCACTAGCCAGTTCCTGTCCTTCTTAGTGGGCAACTCTGGCAGTTGGGGAGCTGCTGAAGCACCAAATACAGGGAACTCTCAGCCCCCACCGCACCCTAACATCAACCCTAGAGACACCCAGATGCAGCCAATGACTCACCTTTCTGTGGTCAAAACAGCTGGGAGGCAGCAAATTTACTGGGCTTTGGGACTCCAAGGTAGAGAGTGAGGGTCAGGACCACAAAAAGGGACCCCAGTCTCCACAGACCTTCTGGAAAAAGATCCAGGAATGAGGATATCTAGGAGCCCTATCAAATGTGAATGGTGCTGAGTCCAGGGGGGAGTTCTCAGTAGAAGGAGATGTGTGACTTATGTTGTGCACTTACTAGGTTTTTGCCCATTAAAATGCATGACTCTGATTGGCAGCATGACCTCCCTAAGCCGCTTCGCCCCTCTGGGCTTGTTTCTCCTTTCCAAGATCCAACTCAAAATATGCACTAATTGGAGCTCTAAGAGTAGTTGCACAAGTCATCTCATATGAAGTCACACTAGCCATTATTTTATTATCTGTTCTTCTAAGTTCCGTTTTGGGGGCTGGGAGTAACGTCTGGTGAGGCGCTGCACACTTGTCTGGGATTAGGAGGATGTTATTATATTAGGCTGAGGGGGAGGTATGAGTGTGTGTGGGGGGGGGGGGTTGTTCAGAATCTGCAGCAGGAGGGAGGGGATTCAGCCACCATCTGGCGCTGCCCCAGCGCCCCGGAGCTGGCGTTCCAGGTCGCCTCCGAACTCCTAATGACCCCCCAGTTAGACCGAACTGCGCGGTCTCCTCTCAAATTGCAAAGAGAAAGTAGGGGGTCAGAGGCCTGACCCCAGACCTTGGACTACCAGGAAACTGTCGAGGCCCTTTCAGTCCCGCTGCCTTTCCGAGTCCCTCGCCCGCGGGCCCACCCCCGACTCAGCGCCCACCGGGTCACCGGAGGACAAGCGACCCAAGCGGGGCGGGGGCGGGGGGGCGTTGCCGGCCTTGGTGACGTCTCAATGTCATATGCAAATAGGGAGACGTCACGGTCCCCCCGTGCGGTAGCCAATCCAGAGCCGGCGGAGACAGACAAAGACCCGGGAGCGGGGGACGCGGGCCGTGCCCCGGGGCGCGGGGAGCCCGCGTCGGGGCGTCGGGACTCACCTCGGGGCGGAGGCGGGGCGGCGGGCGGCGGCGGCGCTGAGGTAGCTGTGCTGCGGGAGTCCCGGGCTCTGCAGCGGGTCACAGGCCGGGCCGCATCGCGGGGACTCGGCTGTGAGGCGGCGGGGATGCGGGGCCGGCGCCCGGGGCTGCTGCGCTCGCCCGCGAGCCTTTGAGTCTGTGCGGCCGCAGCCGCCGGGCTCACGGCACAAATTAGAACGTTCAAACAGCTGATTGTGACGTCACAAAGGGGCCCGCCCGCGTCGCGTCACCGGCCGGCGGCTCGGCGGCCAATCCCAGCCGGCGGGTCCCCCCTCCTTGCTTCCTCCACGGTTCGTCGGCCGGCGGCTCCTGCCCTCCCGGAGCCGGGCGCCGGGCTTCTGGAGGCTGCTGGAGCCGAGAGGCGGTTGCTGGGAACTTAGCCCTTCCTCCCCAGGACGCCCCTCAAACCTCTCCGCGAGAAGGGTCATTCTTTCCTACACAACCCCATCTTCCTGCATTCCCTCCACACGTCCCAGCGCCCCCATCCCTCCCACAGCCCCCCACTGACTTTCACCTGCATCCTGCATCCAAATTCCCCAAGCTGCACCCTTTTCTCAACTTCCCCACCCCGTCCATTCTCCCCCATCACCCTTCTCCCAGCTCTTCGTTTTCACCTCCCTCCTACTCACTTTGCTTCCCCACCCCGTTTCCTCTGCTCGTCAAACTTGAGAGGTAGGGGATATCTCCCTTTCTTGGTTGGGGTGTGAGGCATCAGGGAGTGTAAAGGCGTTGATTAGGCTATTGGGCAATTTTTCAGAAGCGGACTTGGAGATCAGTTGCTCTGTGCTGCATAAACATTGACTAGAGACGCATCTGTGCTGGAATCTCTACACATTAATACATGTTGCTGCCTGGATTGGACAGAAAAGTGTCAGGACCAGGATTATTACTCCTAATTTACACACTGGGAAGCAGGCTCACAAATAGTATGATTACTAACAGGCTCACTGTTAATATGTTTAATAATGCACTCAGTGAACATTGAGTACCTTACTGTTGCTGCTGCCAGCCCACTACCTGACATTGATTGGACACTTACTGAATGACAAACACCAGGCTAAAGCATTTTATGTGTGTTTTGATCATCAAAGCAAGCCAAAAGGTGGTATTTATTTTACAGATGAGAACATAGAGAGGCTAAGTGACTTCCAAGTTTACAAAATTATAGTAAATGGTAGAACCAGAATTTGAACTCATAATTCTTGACCCAATCTTCTGTGTCCAATTGGCCCCAAATTATCTAAACCTGGAGTGCTTCAGCCGCCTCAGGGGGACCTTGGCTTAATCCTGACTGCCCCAAATTTGCTGTGTAATCTCAAGCAAATCATGGTGCCTCTCTGGACCTCAATTTCCCTTATCTATCAACTTTAACATATCCACTCTTCCTTGCAGAACTGACATGGTAAAGTTCTTCCAAATTGAGTACCCTCTGAATTGTGCCGATCAATCCCATGCTCTAGACCCCAGCCCTCCCATTGGGCTGGGAATTGACTGGGAGAAACCACAAATGCACTCCTTAGAATATCCAGGGCCAGAGGTTCTGTGTCCTCTCTCAGTAGAGCAGGGTTAGTGGGAGAGAGTCTGAGTGGTGCCCATCTGCTCCAGCAGAAGGACGGGGGTGATCTAGGTCGGAACTTCATGCTCTGATTACTAAATCCTGTCTAGCCTGAAACCCCAGAAGTCCACTCAGAAGGAGGAGCCAGGAGAAGGAGCCAGGACATAATACTCAGAGGCTTGAAGAGAGTAGGGGAGAGAAGAACAATGTTTTGGCCCTGGAGTGATGTCTCTCCAAGCAACCCTGAGCCTCTGCACATCACATCTACTTCCTCCTAACCTCTACCCTCTCTTGATCTTCTTACTGACTTTAAATAATCCCTAACATGCCTCTCCTGTCACACTACTTGTCTGCTCTAAAGCCTGCTATGACTCCCAGAGTACCTTACTCCTTAACACAACATTCATGGCCTTCCATGATCCAGCCCCAGGCCTCCCCAACTTCATCTCCACTACTCTCACATGCACCTTGTGCCGAGGTCAAACTCTTCACTGTCTACTTGACACTCTCCCACATTCAAACTTTGCTCAAGCTCTTTCCCCTGCCTAAATTAAATTTCTGAATTTAAATCTTTCCTGTCTGCAATATTCTATTCACCCTTCTTTCTTTGGGTAGTTTTTCTTATCCCTCATGTGCTCCAAGCTACCTTAATGGACAGTCGTTTATTTGTTCAATAAATGACAATTAATTGTGTGTGTGTGTGTGTGTGTGTGTGTTCCCAAGTGGCATCCAAGGGCAGAATCTTTGTTCATTTATTCCACAATCAGCCTTTGCTGGTCCTGACACACAGTTGACTCTAGGCAGTCCACTATCAAAGCTCAGCACTTACAGCCCAAAAAGGGTAGCTGGTATGAGTCTACACCTGAACCCTCTATTCTGGCACAGGAGGTGCGCGCCAATTCTATGTACAAAAATGCATATACATGGGCGATCTGTGTGTATACATGAGATGTTCATGTACAGACATACATACTTGGGTGCATGAGCTCACATCATAGGGTTAACATGCCTACACCCATGTAATCTGTACAAATGTAAGCACCTGCCAAATTTGATAGGATTCCAGGATTGGAGGTCAAGACTTTGCCCTCATCAAACCCTGGGAGCTCATCCAAGTCTTGGGGTCCCCTACTTCAAAGGACAGAGATGTGTCAGCCTGGGTGTGTCCCTCATGGGACCTTGCATGAACTCACTGAAAAAGGTATGAACCCACTGAGAGAACTGGCTCAACTCTCCCCCTACCTGCTTTCTCCCTCAAATAAAGGACAAAGCTGAAAGGAAGCCCAGCCTTGGAATGTGAATCAAAATCAGCAAACCCTGATTAATATAGAAGCAGAGCTCTCCCCATCCCCCCAGCACTAGCCCCAGATCTATAGAGTTCGATAATACTATTGGTGTTTCTATGTGCCTGGTGTCCTCTGTGTCCTTACCTGTATTGATAACCCATCTAATCTTCACAACAATCCTCTAACATAGATAATGTTTTACTGGTGAAGAAAATAAGACAGAGAGGCCAAGAAATTTAATTGATAAAGTCAGGGCAAAGATAATCCCCACATTTCCCCAACAGATGGGGAAAGGGCCTTAACAAAGGGCCACAAAGGGCCACACTCCCAGGATGTCTACTCAAAAAACTTTATTGTTCAACCTAGAAATGTCTCAACCGAGGGTTACTCTGTGTGTGTATGTTACTCCACAAAGAAAAACTCCAGGTATAATTGTCAGTAAATTCAGATTTCAATCATAGTTCTGTCCTGGGCTCATTGCCTGGCCCTAGACAAGTCGCTTTCTTTGTCTGAGCCTCAGTTTCCCCATCTGCAAAATGGCAGACTCCAGACTTCCTAAATAATAACCTTCATTCCTGACCTCTCTGTATCGGGTTTGTTTTGTGAACTGTGTGTAGTGTCATCACAATGGTCAGAAAGGATTTATTTCAGGAAGAAGAGGCAGGCAGTGAAATCCCTTAGTTTTAGCTCATCTGTCCTTGGTGTGAGGGTGAGGCAGTGACTGGGGTTCTGTGGGTTTGTGAGTGTGAACAATTATCTGAGCAAGCTGCTCTGGTGTGAGTGCCCTACATGAATTTCCATGTTTAGAAATCCTGTGGGGAAATGCTTCCCTAACCACCTGTGGTGGTTAGAGGCAGCTTTGGGACCACACAGGAGCAGGAGGTGTCTGGAGTTGTACTCTCTGTTCTTGCCCAAGAAGGGCCAGATTCTGCACCTACTCCTGGGACTCTGCTGAGGGTTCCTAGCAGATGTTGAGGATGGTGAAGAGAGGGTGGACATCAGGGTTCCCTCCTGATGAACTGGACACTTTTCTTGGAGTAAATGGACCCCCTAAAGCTCAGACAACTGCCCTTTCCTATTCACAGGTTCCTTGGCTTCCTACCTTCCCTAAGCTCAAGTCAAAATGCTGGTAAAACATCCTTTCACCATACCTGGTACACAGTAAGCATTTAGTAATTACTGACTGGGTGAGTGAAGCTGCCCTTACCTACATTTTAGTCTTTTCTGTCAGCACAAACACACACACACACACACACACACACACACACACACACACACACACCATATGCAAATGATCACACTTCAAACCACCACTAGCTTTCCTGCTTTCAGAAACTGATTATTGTCATTTCCTCCTCTTAGAAAACTCCAACTTTTCACCTACTTAACTCCTTGTGTCTAGATCACCTCTATTATTCTTCAGCACTTATACACTAATCAGCAACATATTTACTGAGCATTAATCATGTGCCTGTAGCTCTCCAAGATGAGCACTGTCGTTATCCCCACTTTATTTTTTTTAAAGATTTTATTTATTTTTATACAAGAGCTGGGGTACAGGCCAGAGGCACGGGAGGGTAAGAGGATTCACCAGAGACAGAGTGGGGAACAGAACAGGCAGATGACAGAAATACACTGCTGAGGGGAGCAGAGGGCGTGACAGGAGAGGTCTACCAC